TAAAAACCAAACTTTCCAAATGCTTCCATGTGGCCAACAGCAACATGCTCTGGAAATGGACTCAGGGGCAAGTGTACAGCAATCGCCTTGGTCATCACGTGTATCTAGCCCAGAGAGAATGGAAAAGACTCGTGAGAGGTTATTTCCCCTCACATCCCAGCTACTTTGTTAAAACGTGCAAAGTGTGTTGATACCTGGGGAGGATCTGTGATGCCTGATTTTTACACGGAGCTTGTGTAAGCAGAGTCTTCCCATCATTTTACCCTCTTCTCTTTTTTCTATTGGGTTCCTAGAAGAAAAACTCAGCAGGTGATGGATGGATAACTCCCCCCCCCCCCCAAATCCTCATTCACAGTGTAATGCAAACATAGGTATTTTAAAAAATCTGGGGGATGGGATCTGAAAAAAATTATTGTAAGACAGACTCAACTTGTATTTTGAACTGGCCTTTCATATTTTTTTCCTCTTTTACTCTGTGAGAATCTACCACTTACCTATGTATTAAAGACTTGCAGGTCTTGTCCGAACTCCAAATTATCCCATCACCAAAGCAGCCTAAATCTCACGCAGCAGCTCTCTGCTTCACTTCACTCATTTAATCTTGGACCAACCTGCTAGTCAGGCATTTTCTAAATCATAGGTTGGCGACCCAAAATGCAAACATGCTACTCGTACATGTCACTCTGGATCCTTGCTCTAATAAAATTTCTTTGCTTTGAGAAATTCAACATCGACTACTTTGTGTTTGGCATGTTTAGTTAGTGCTGTTGACGGCTAAAGCTATGAAAGGTTTTCACTAATGTGCAATATATATTACACATTATATGAGGTGAAAATTCAGCCAGGATCTTACTTGATGTTAACCATTTAGTCCAGAAACGATTGCTTTTCAACATGATTGCTATGTTGACCAAAATTCCTGATTGTTAATGGATCTTTGAGTGGAAAATGTGTGACTTTTTTTTTGAGATACAACTCCCAAATTTCCCCAACCTTCATAACCACTGCCAGTGTTGGCTAAGATACTCTGGGAGCTATAGTCCAAAAATGCAGGACACGAAAGGTTAAATAAATGACATGGTCATGGTGAGTTCTTTGAGTAGGGTTTTTTTTTTGTAGCTCTGCTTCCTTTCAAAACAGAAATATTAAGCTTACCTTCTACCCACACTGTAGACCTATAGCAGTTAGACACAACTTTGTGCCACAGCTCCACCACATGTGATCCTGAGATGTTTTGCAGCCTCATCAGATGGGCTAACATGTGGCAGAAAATGCAGGTTTTCTTTAGTTTTGCCACAGAGCCTGCTGTCTCCTATTCCACGATGTACATTTACTTCCAGCGGGGCTCCATGGCAAAACTGAAGTGGGAGCAGTGTACATCGCCATGGCGGCAACACAGGACGCTTTCTGTGTTGCATAGCGATCAATGGAGGGAAGCCGGGTTGCAGATGCTTCCCCCATGGGATGAGGTAAGGGAAAAGCTGGGCGATGTGGGGCATGGGACAACAGGTTCCCCACGTACCCCACCAGACACCACCAGATTCACTATGATTTGTGGCGATTTCAGCGGCAAATGTGATATGGTCCCTAGTTTGTTGTGTCACCAGACCTTTAAGGCGAAGAGGAATAAAATTGCAGTTAAAGTGGTGCCAAACTGCATTAATTCTGCAGTGCAAGTGCACCTTTAGTGCAAGTGGCCCTGGTCTTATTCCCCTCCACTAGTTCTGTGAACATGCTTAGAATCACTTCTGGCAAGCCTTCTCATGCCTAGGATTCCTTTTCTCATATGTAATGGAGCCATTTTGATCAGGTTCAATAATCCTGCCCTCTTTGGTACCTTCTTTGGTGGTTTCCATTCCTGTTTCCTGCCTGTTAACCATATTCTCTTGGCTTCTAGGGCTTGCAGGATAGATTGTTTTTAAAACATATTTAACTTCATAAGGTAATGCTTATGATGCTTGCTCTTTAGATGGACTAACATGGGTGGCTACTAATTGAGCATAACCCTAATAACATTCACTGCATAGCAAAAGAGTGAACTGGATCCATGAATTCATTGTTTTCAAAAATCAGAGTGTAAAGCTAACTTTGAGTCAGAGTAATACAGTGGTTTGAGTGATGGACTAGGACCAGGAATACCAAGATTTGAATCAGCCATGGAAACTGGGCAACCATGGGCCCCTCAGCCTCAGAGGAAGGCAAGGATAATACCCACTGAATAAATTCTACAAAACAAAACAAAACAAAACAACAACAAAAAAACTACCTCACAATAGATTTGCCATAGGGTTGTCATAAGCCAGAAATGACATAAAGGCACACAACAACATCAACAAATTTCATTTTAAACCAAAAGCAAAACTACAAGCATGTTACTTTGGTGCATAAACCTGTTTGCTGTCCAGAAAAAAGAATTAAGGGAGCAAATGGAGTGTCATTTACATTCTAAAATACTATTTCATTAATGTACTATATAGCACAGTGAGAGATAGTGCTGAAATATTAATTGAATTTTTATGTGAAAATTAATTAAACTTGATTTCCCACAAAGTTATTATGTGTTGCACTTTAGATGTCTCTCCTTTCTCTGAATATTAGTTGTAAAAACTGAAGTGGCTTTGTCTCTCTCTCCCTCCCTCCAAGTCTGCTATTTTGTTAACTAATTACAAGAGTGAATTAGAAAGAAGCTTTTTATACATAACATTTCTTGTCAGTTTCTCTCAGTCCCTCCTACCATATTTTCATTTATGGATATTAGAAAATTCAAGGAAGTCTTTTTTAAAAGTAAAATAAAAAATGCCCCCAAGGGGAGACTGGATTGGTGATTATTAAATAGGATAAAGAAGCTTCCTTCTTACTGAGTGATCTGAAATCATTATTCTGACAGCTTTTCAACTAAGCATATGAAATGAGTTTGTGGCCTCAAGTATTTGAAAAAAAAAGAAAAGAAATGTCCTTTACAATCTGTAACTTAAAAGAAGAAGCTCAGCCATTTAGCTTGTTTTGCTGGAATATATCAGCAGTTATTTTATGGAGATGCAAAAGCAAGATTTTGAATTTTTATCAGTCCATTGCTTTTAGGTATAATTCATACATGAGGAACTATGCCTCTAATACACATAAAAGCACTACGGGGAATTTTGAGTTGTTTTGCTTTGTTTTGTAAACCTGTTGAATAGTATAAAAAGGACATCTCAAAATACTTAACTGTGTCCTCCCATGAACGATTACTAGGGCTGCGCAGAAAGTCATATCAGTGTTGTATGTCTGATCTATTTCATAATATTTACATAAAGAAACAGTAATTATAATTTTGTTATAATAGTTACAATATGAACGCCTTACAATATTTTAGAAACACCTTAAAATTATTCCCTCCCTCCCCCAAATTTAGAAATGAGTATTGGAACTTTTTTTCATTGATTGCACACCCCTAATGATTACTATAGGGTTATATTGGAAGCTTATGATGTCCTTTAAAGCAGGGGTAGGAATCATGCGACTTAAGTCTCAGGAAGGTCAACAGTGGGGTTTGTAGTCAAGTAAAAGTGTACATGGGTAGGATAACACACTCTTGTAATACTTATCAGAATGTGACTGGATGCTACCAACTCTGGTCTTCTCTGTTCTAGTTCAACGTGATATGCAAACTTCTGATGTTGTAAAAGCCGAGAGCAGACATTCTTATAGAACTGTTTTTGGTGTTGTGGATTAGGGTTTTCAAAGTTTATTTTATATATATTTAGCAAGCTTAGGTCTTTTAGATGTTGACTTTGAGGGTGAATTGATAGAACAAGCACTATTTCTCAGAACTCATAAACGAACACATCAATTGACTAAAGAATCAAGCAAGAGCTTGCAAGTGAAACAGGACTGACTGAATATGTTTTAGAATGGTATTGTGTAAGATGCATGGATGGGCCCTACTGCCAACACCAAACTAGAATTGGTTGTTATTGTTGTTGTGCATCATGGAGTAACCCTAATCTGAACTATCACAGGTTTTTCATGGGAAGACTTGTTCAGAAAGATTTGCCTTTGCCATACTCGGAGGCTAAGAGAGTGTGACTTGCCCAAGATCAACCAGTGGGTTTCCATAATTGAACAGAGATTTGTTACAGGCTACAACTCTAGCCTCCAGAGTTGTAGTCTAATGCTAAAATAACTACACCATGCTGGTTCTCAAACCAGGGTTGCCAGAAAGAAAACGAGAGAGGGATCCTCCATCTTTAATAGGTGTATAGAGGACAGAATTTGAGCAGGTGTAGCTTGTTATTTGGTAACTCAACTCTTCTACACAGCTGTCTCCTGTTTTTGGTCTGGCAGGCTTAACAATAGAGCAATCACAACATCACTGCCTATTCACTGCCTTCTTTGTCCCAACCAACAGCCTAAAAAGACAGGGCAAAGTGTGTCAAAACTAGTTACCATTTTCAGCTATAGCTCACAAAACTACACTACTCTAAAAGTTGTAGTTCCAAAAAGTATTTTCCCTAACTTCAAATGGAAAATCTCCTGCTTATTCATTGAAAAAAGGCAAGTAAACAGATGATAATAGTAAGGATCAAAATGAGGAGGAGCAAAGTAATGGGGCTCAATGTTGGACAGTGCTTCTCTGTTAGAATGTGGGCCTTGGTGTCTTTTCAGTGATGCTAACCTCTAATGATACCACTGGTGTGGGGATCAACCATCAGATAAAGTCCCACAGACAGAGCTTTTGTACTACCTCATACCACTGTCTCGTATGATATTGGAGTTTTGTGTGATTTCCAAGTTATATGGCCATTTTCTAGCAGCATTTTCTCCTGACATTTCACCTGCATCTGTGGCTGTAATCTTCAGAGGATATGATGGTGGTGAAGCAAGTTGAGTATGTATACCTGTGGATGATACTTTTCAATAGAGAGTGTTCACTTGTTTTGCTGAGAAAGATAAGGGCACTGAGTAATTTTCCATGTCTTCCATCTTTGATTCTGAAAGCTTTGTGTTTTTCTTTCAAGTCCCCAGGATCAAAGGAGAACAAGGGAATGATGACTAGAGAAGAGTTCATTGATAAAATGTCCACCAATATTAAGCGAGGCACAAAGGAAGAATATGGTGAACTATTTAGCAAGGTAGATTTGAATCGAGATGGAGTCATTGACTGGGAGAAACTGACCTCCTTTGTGCTGCTTGAACTGTATGAGAGAGATGAACGAACCAAACTATCTGTCATCCCCCAGTGGAAGGACCTCCAGCTTCTCCCACTGATCCATAAAGATGTGATTCAAAATGTGCTGTTTTTGAAAAGCCATGCCAGCTATTTGACTGTGAGCAGGAGTGGATTGCTCGGTCTCTGGGGAGAGAGTTTAAAATTACAGAAGACACTTCAGATCACTACAGAAGTTGTCAAGCTGAAAGACCTCTGGGTGACCTCTCTGGTAGCATTACCAAATGTTAACAAGGTATGTAAATGTGCTGATGGAAGTGGAATCATACTTCCCAAATGAAGCCAGGGCAGATACATTTCCACAGCTTGACATCACTTTTCTAACACAACTGTGCATATCACTCACAGAGTGACACTTTCGAAGCATGTGGAGATACCATGGCAGCAGCTTTGAGAGATCCACCAGTGCTACTCTTTTACCCAAGCTTTCCAGAACAGCTTCCTGCCTCTCTCTCAATTTAAATAGACAATTGATCTCAACAACCACCTTTTTCATAATGCCTTCCTTTGAAGATGTATCTTTCAGAGGGAAGCATTTTGACTGTCCATGTTTCATAAAGAGTAAGCCTACCTTATTCTGATGGGTGGGTTTTGGACAGCGGTTAGTGGGCAGAGTTAGGATGAAAACACAGTTTGGAAAGTAACTACTAGCTTTAGCTGATATGCTAGCTGTACCCCTTCCTAGAATTGGAGATCCTAAAGATGGTAGTGCATGTGCTGGTAACATCAAGGTTGCACTTCTGCAATGTTCTCTACATTGAACTACCTCTGCACTAAGTTTGGAAACTCCAATTGGTTTGAAACATAGCAACCAGATTGGTTACAGAAACGTTTAGGAGTGAGCATGTTACACCCATACTAAAGTCATTCCACTGGTTTCAAATTATTTTCTGAGGAAAGTGTTGGTTTTGATCTTTAAAGCCCTACATGGCTTGGGTCCAGGTTACCTTCAGGATCACCCTCAGCCATATAATCTGCCCCATATACTTGGGTCTCTTAGGGAATGTTTACTTTAACCAACCTGAAACTGACTGGCAATGGTAACCTAGAGGACCTTTTCATCCACTGTCCCTAGACTGTGGAATGACCTACTAGAAAATATCTGACAGCTTAATGAGTTTACAGAATTTAATTAAAGACCAATCCCTTCTGAGAGGTCTACCCAGTCAATTTTAAACTATGAGTTTTAAATTTAATTTCTGTTAGTACTGTATTTTAATCTTTATAATATGCATTTTACTATATGCATTTTATGGTATTGTGTTTTATCTATTTTGTACCTCACTTCAAGCTGTGAGGAGAGGCTGGTAACAAATACATTTTTTATTATTAGTATTGGTAGTTTTGACATGAATGTTTATTCATTGACATGAAATAATAATAATAATAATAACAATAATCTTTTATTTATATCTCACCACCATCTCCCAGAGGGACTTGGGGCAGCTGATAAAACAGTCAAGGTGTGACATCCAAAATACAAGAAGTGCAAAACAAAACATATGAGTAAACAATTAAAAAATCAAAACTTACTTTGTTAATGTTTTCTCTAAAGCTATAAAATGAGTTACCGTATATTATTTGTTGATAGTACACTAATGTCCTATAATACTGAATTTTTAAAAAAATAGAAAATTACTTTTAATACAACACAACAAAATCAAATAGTATAAAATGTTAACTGTTTCTTAAACTGTTGTCATTTTTATTAGTTGATTACAATCATGGGCTGGAATTCTCTATTAAAGAGATCTTTTTGAAGCAAAACTTTCTCATGGGGCCCCAAGAAATGTTTATATATTTTATTATATATTCTATTATATATAATGTATATATAACAGGCATAGAAAAACCTTTGGAGGCACTGTGTTTTAAAATTTGACGAATGGGCTGGGCAGTGACATATGGATGGAAAGTATTTGTGTGAACTAACTGGAAAAAAACCCCCCGAACAAATTCCTATGCACATTGCACATATCCCATTTGTAGTGTAAAAGAAAAAAGGAAAAAAAGAACAATGCAGTATTTAAACTGAAGAACAATTTTAACCAACATAAATGTAACAGTATTTCAGTGTAAGATCTCTAAGGTTATCCAGTCCAACCCCCTTCTGCAATGCAGAAGTACAATCAAAGCACCCTTAACAGATGGCCACCCAGCCTTTGCAGTAGGAGTAGTAGTAGTAGTAGTAGTAATACTATTACCATTTGTCCCTAAATTGTCAAATAATCAGGGGTTCCTCACCTTCCTTGCTGCCCAGATCCCTTCTCCCTTGGCTTGTTTGCTTCCAAAACCTTATTTCCCTCCCACTGCTCAGGGCGTGCTTTGATTGTGTTTTTCATACATGGCAGAAGGAAGTTTAATTGGATGGCCCCTGGGGTTTCTGCTATTATTATTATTATTATTATTATTACAGAGTCTGGGTGGATGTCTGTTGAGGGTGCTTTGATTGTGCTTTCTTACATGGTAGAAGGGGGTTGGACTGGATGGCCCTTGGGGTCTTCCACTGAAATACTGTTAAGTTTTTGTTGGTCAAAAGGTTTTCCCATGCTATCTATCTATCTATCTATCTATCTATCTATCTATCTATCTATCTATCTATCTATCTATCCACACACACACATTATATATAATAAATAATAAAATATATAATACAATATATAAATATTTTGTGGGGCTCCACAAGAAACTTTTGCTTCAAAAAGGCCTCTGAAACTGAAAAAGTTTGAGAACCCTGCCCCTTACTGTTAAAAATTACTGTTAAAGATTTTATGTATTATGGCAAGAAATTAATTTTAATTGCTTGTTTTCAAGATCTGAGTGAAAGAGAAGCATCTTACTATAGGCAGTGAACGTAGGAAGCTGCATTACACTGAATCAGACCATAAATCCCTGCCCAATATTGTCAACTCTGATTGAAAAGAGACTCTCCAGAGTTTATCATAGAATTATTTCCCTGCTTTACCTCAAGAGGCTGGGAACTGAATCAAGGAATTTCTGCAGGAAAAAAAAAATTCTCTACCAGCATACTGTGGAGCCTCCTTCCTTAAGCCTCTTATACCAGTGATTCAGAAACAGTGCACTAGGAAATACTACCAGGCCGGGGGGAAAGATGAATCATGTATCCACTATGCCTATCAAACCATGGATATCTGTGAATTCTGACAGTTCAAGCACATCTTGCTCATTTTCTTTCTCATGTGACATCAGCTAGCTCCTTCCTTAACCACCTAGCAGCCATCTTCCCAGGTTAATGGCTGCTGACTACAATTCTTACATTAATGGGAGGGCTGATGAAATTGCGGTGTTAATCTTTGACCAGTGCTTTAAAATATACCTATTATTCTATTTTATTATACCAAAGATTTCTATTTTATTTCATTTTGCATTGGAAGCACAATGTAGTTCTTGCCTGCTTCTCCCTACACATTGAGAAAGTTATAAACTGTAAGGCCAATAAAGACATAAAATCTGTTTCAAAATACAATGAAATGTAGCACTTTAAAAAGCACATTACCTGCACTTGTCAAAATACAAGCCCTCCGTTATAAAGAGCTTATAGTGATTTAAATTTCTTTAGGGAAAGAGATAGAGGGGAAAATGTAACAAGGAGTGAGCAACAGTGAAGACATGCTTAGACTACGGTTCTGTTAAGTAGGAAAGATAAAGGAATAAGGTGAGGCAAGTAAATAGAACCACCACCTACATTTTTTACACGAAAGTTACCTTAATTAATTTACCCTATTATACCCCACCATTCTCTACCCCAAAGGGGACTCAAGGTGGCTTACGTACAGGCAATGATTCAATGCCTTAAAATTCATACAATTCCAATAACATTAAGGATAAATTAAATTAAAATTAATACATATGAAGCGTTTACATTTTTTTTGTTCAATACTAAAATCATGCCGTCCATAATCATAGTCCAAACCATTCCATAGACATTGCACATATTCCAAATTTGTAATTGCACTGTACTATTCTTTGAAAGCCTGATCCCAGAGCCAAGTTTTTACTTTCCTTCCAAAGGCTAGGAGAGAGAGGGGGTGATCTAATATTGCTGGGGAGGGAGATCCACAGCTGCAGGGCCACCACTAAGAAGGCCCTGTCTCTCGTCCCCACCAATCGTGCTTGTGAGGAAGACCGAGAGCAGGGCCTCTCCAGATGATCTTAATCTCTGAGGTGGCTCATAAGGGGAGATATGTTTGGACAGGAAAGCTGGGCCAGAACCGTTTAGGGCTTTATAGGCTAAAGCCCGCATTTGAATTGTGCTTGGTAGCAGACTGGCAAGCTGGCGCAACAGGAGGGTTGTCCTCTCTCTGTATGCTGCTCTGGTGATCAACCTGGCTCCTGCCTGTTGGACCAATTGAAGCTTCCGAACAGTCTTCAAAGGCAACCCCATGCTGTAGTCTATATGGGATGTAACAAGAGGGTGGACCACCGTGGCCGTTCCCAAGGTATGGGTGCAGCTGGCGCACAAGTTTTAATTGCCCCCTGGCCAACACTGATACCTGGGGTTCCAGAATCAGAGATGAATCCAAGATCACTCCCAAGCTGCGAACCTGCATTTTCAGGGGGAGTGCAACCCCATTCAACATACCCTGCAAGCCTATGCCCTGTTCAGCCTTGCAACTGACCAGGAGGACCTCTGTCTTGCTAAGCTACAATCAGCAGGATTGATGGCCAAGGATCATGAGAATTCTAATCCAGATTATTTGGAGGAAAACAAGTTGGTAGATGGTCAACTGTAGCTCTTCAGATACGTCTAAACTTCCATTTCCATGATCCCTCACTGCTGACTAGAGGTGTACGAAATGGCTGAAATCTGAATAGAAATTTGTTTCAGAGATTTGGATGGCCCCCATTTTGATTAGTAAAGATTCAAAGGGGTGTGTGTGTCCCATTTCGATTCATAATCCAAATCTCCGAAGCTTTGTAATTGCTTCATTAAGATTTGTTCAGTTAGCTTCAATGGAAATTTTTTTTGAGGTTTGTTTCTCTGTCATTATTATTATTATACTACATTTATACTCCGCCCTTATCACCTCAATGGGGGACTCAGGGCAGTTTACGGATCATGGTATACAATGCCACACTACACATATAATAATAAACATGATATATCGCTTTAAACAATTAGCATATCAGTTTAAAAATACAGTAATACACATGACATATCAATTGAAGAATTCAAATATAAATACAATAAAAGCTTAAAAGTAAACATTCAATCCCAACTAAAGTGGGCTGATGACATACCAATTAAACAAGCAATTAACCAATTAAATAAAAAATACAATAAAACATGTTTATGGTTATCAGGATAAAACTTGGAATGTTTGTAGGCAACATTTATGACTTTAGCCTGCCAAGTTTTAGAACATTTCAGTCATCCACTGATTTTTAGGAAATTTTAAAACTTTTTACAAATAATTTAAAAAACACGGCAAGAGACATCCCCCTGGATTCTACATAATTAGGCAACATAAACAGGGCATAATTCCTGCAAAGTTTCAGAAATATTAGTTCATCTTTTAAAAAATGAATTAATTAAAAACTTTTTTCAATTATAAATATTTGTAAAAATTGTATGATGGTATTCCTTCAAACTGTGGCACAATGAGACAAGATGAGCAGGGCAGCAAGCCTGCCAATTTTCAGAACAATCAGTCTATTCCGTGATTTTAAACAATACTTTTCCAGTTTAAGCACATGTGATTAACTTATCCTGGGGCTTTAGCATGAGCAGAATTCTGGGAAATGTAGTTTAGGGTGAGCCTTTTAAATACTCTGCTACAGAGGTCCTTATCTTCCCAAACTACATTTCCCAGAATTCTGCTTGAACAAGAAGAAAGGGGCTACAATTTGGAGTTTGATAATTTTAAGGGAGAGAGAGTTTATTGACTAGATGAAGGGACGAAAAGAAACAGAATTCTTAAGAAGGTACTACAAGTTTAAGTTTTAAGAGACACACAGAAACAGAATGGACCTCCAAAGAACATGTCTTTATCTCCCTCCTGCAAATGCCACAGAGACAAAGACACAGAGATGCTGAGGGGAGTAGATCAGCTTTTCAGAAAGCTGCATGATTTGGCTTTTTTTTTCTTCTTTTAATTGGCTGACAAGGAAAAAATAGCAAGCATCTGCCCCCCTCCCCCCAAGGCTTTTGTTTCAATTTGTAAATGCTTTGGAGGAGTCCTTACCAATCAGTAATTCGGAGATTCATATTTACGACTCATCCGACTTTCCAAATTACGAACAAGAGCTCCAAAGCTTTGCACATCCCTAATGTTGACTTCGCGGTCCAGGGCTCATGAGTGATTGACAACAGCCTACTCTTGGGAGAGGTGGGGTGAGGTGGAGGCTTGGAGCAGTGGAAGATGTTAATATAACAGCATATATCTCAGATAATAGGCCTGCTTGCCCAAAATGTATTATTATTGTTGTTGCTATTGTTGTTATTATGTTTATTTATACCCTGCTTTTTCTCTCCACAAGGATCCTAATGATAATCAGATATGGAGAAATATAGTTTCTGGGGCATTATAGCCTAAAACAGTGGTTCTCAACCTTTAGTCCTCCAGGTGTTTTGGACTTCAGATCCCACAGTCCCTAATAACTGGCAAGCTGGTTGGGATTTCTAGGAGTTGAAGTCCAAAACACCTGGAGGACCAAAGACTGAGAATCACTGGCCTAACACACCTGGAAGGCAACTGACTGGATGAGACTCACAGTAATCATTTGATGTCACAACATTGAGGCTCAATAACAAATTGTGATAAAATGTAAGCCTCTTAAGAGATTATTTGACACTTTGGTCACTCTATGTACAACATTCTTTTCCCTCCTAGTTAACATTTTTATTTCCCTTTTGCCACTTTCCTACATAGGTAGCAGTTGCATTCACAAGCAAGGAAATTTATTTTGCTGAGCTGAATTCCAAACAAGGATTCTCACGTAACTATAAGCTTCAAGGACTTAAAGGAACTGTGATATGTATGGACTACTGGTACAACCACCATGATGAAAATGATGCCATTCTGACCATGGGGGATGTCTGTGGACAGGCGAGTAAAGTCAAATTTTACAGTAGCCCTCACCAAATATTTGAAGGGCTATCATAGATGAAAGGGCAAACTTGTTTTCTGTTATTCTGGAGTGTCAGATCCAAACCAATAGGCTCAAATTACAATTAAAAACATTTTGAGTAAATGTGGAGAACTTTCTAATGGTGTAAGTTGTTCAACAGTGGAACAGATTGCTTTAGGTCATCTTTCCCTTTAATGCTTTTAACCAGAGATGTGCATTGAGTGCAATATTTGGTTTGAATCCAGATTTGGTGATTCAATTCAGACCTATTTGTGATTCAGGCATCCAAGTAATTGTTCCTCCCAATGGCTATGATTAGCAATCAACAGAGAAAAAAAACCCCTTTCTTTTCTGTCCAGATTTGAGTTATCTTGTCTCTGTCCAAAACAGCCAGTATTTGTTTTGAATCTAAAGCTACATCCTGAGATTTTAACGATCCAACCTCCAATTTTTAGCAAGTCACATGTTAAAATACTGTAGCAGTGGATTTTTTTAATTGGCTGTAGATTTGTCTAGCTGACATTTGAAATGCATTCCCAGTTCTTTGATCCTATGTATATTCCAGGCATTCCCCTTCTGTTTTGCTGAAAGTCAGTTCATCTCAATTGTTTCTCATCCCTCATATTCATACTAATAGAATTGCTGCTAATCTGTCCAGGGCTTTGTTCCCTTCATTTGCCTTTAGATTGGGTCACCCTCCCCTTTTCTGGAGTCATGCTATATGTGTTTCCAAGCTGTACATATTTTAAGTTATTTCCTTTGTGCTCTTATAAGCAAATCCCTGCAGTCTCATTAAGAAAAAATAGCCCCAGCTGTGGCCATGAAATTTAAATTCCTGCAAGTCATGAATTTATAACAAAGCAGAGGCTTTGTGTGATATCCAGGTTATCTCCTTCAGTAATGGATTGCTTTGAAATGTTGAGAATAGTTTAACTTTTTTAAAAATAAGGTATATTTCTATCCCTCCTAGGTTCAAGCAATTGCCTTCAACACAGCCCAGATTTCATTATTTGAGCGACCTTCCAGTTCTTCTGAAGATGAAAATGTGATGAGGACTATTAATTGGCAGGAACTAGCATCTGGGTGTCATAAATGTTGCAGTACATTAAGGCACAACTTCCATGGTAAAGAATGGATCAGACAAGGTTGGTACTGAAGAACAAATACAAGGAGGTCCCTTTCAAGTTTTGCATAAACTTTGGTTTTAGGGGAAAAATAATATGGTGAACCTAGGTCCTCCAGCTCCAAGTCCTAAGTATATTTACCTGGGAAGAAAATCCATCTAGTTAATCTTAAGTATTAGACTGACTGAGGGCAACTGTCTCAGCCATAAAATGTTGTGGAAAAGAAATAGTATTCATCGCTGAGCCTGGAACCCCAGGTCTTGGCAATGGCTGGGGGGGGGGGGGCTTTTGCACAATTAAAACTTATGCGCCAGCTGTGCCCCTACCTGGGAAGTCAGATTTGGCCACAGTGGTCCATGCTTTTGTTCGGAAGTTTCAAGTAGTCCAGTGGGCAGCAGCCAGGTTTCTAACTGGAGGGGGGCACAGGGAGCACACAATTCCCTTGCTGAAACAGCTCCACTCGCTGCCAGTCTACTACCGAGCATAATTCACAGTGCTAGCTTTAGCCTATAAAGCTCTAAAAGCTTCTGGCCCAGCTTATCTGTCCAAATGCATCTCCTCCTATGAACCACTTCGGTGATAAATATAATCTAAGAAGGCCCTGCTCTCGGTCCTTCCCCCTTCGCAGGTGTGACTGATAGGGATGCGAGACAGGGTGGCGGCCCCTCGGCTGTGGAGCTCCGTAACCAGGGAAAATGTATTAGCCTCCCCTCCAGTCCTTCAGAAAGTTAAAACCTGGTTGTAAGACAAAGCATTTGCACAGTAATAGTGCAACAATTGATATCCCAATGCAATAATGAACAATTACAGAGCACAATTGGAATGGTTCCTGACTTATGCTTCTGGATTGTGTTTTTAGATAACTGTTTTAATTGATATGTTTTAGTGATGTGATTTTAATGTATATGTTGTTTTATAGTGATATGTATAATATGGTTAAAGTTCTTAATTTATAGTATATGTTACTGTCCAGAAATTATGTTTTGGTTTCCACATGTATGTATATGCTATTATGTTAGAAACCACTTTGAGTCCCCTCAGGGGTGAGAAAAGCCCTGCAGAAAATAAATAAATATGCCACTTTTCTCTCTTAAAATAGACTCAAAGTAGGTTTTGTGGTAAATTTTGAAATGTGTGTACTCATCATGACAGTCTCTTTAGCAACATTCTCAAGGAGTGCCCCACAAATGCAAATCACTGTATTCATCTTTCTAAAAGAATTCTATCAGTGTTTAGCAAATCATTGGAAAAGCGACCTTGTCCATTTAAGCTCAAGTCACCATTCAAAGTACTTGAAATGATAGCAAGGATGAGTCATGCACATTAGAGTCTCTTAAGATTTTTAATCAGAGGCTGGATGGCCATCTATGGGGACCGCTGCCATTTTGTGTATTCCTGCATCAAAGGGGGTTGAACTGGATGACCCTTGTTGTTCTTTTCCAACTATGTTTTTTATGATTATGTAACTTTCCAAGACAACCTTTTAATTGGCTTGGAAACTCTACTTCCTTGCCAAAACTATTGTGAATTGCAAGAGAAATGAGAAGGAGCAAAGGAAAGCAAAGGGTATGGCTGATGATGCCTCTTAATCAGAAAGCACAGGGGCTTTTACCCTGTAGGATCTAATTTGATTAAACTAGTGCTGGGATCCTAAATGAGCTTGCTATTTGAGGTGTGATAGAAAACAGAAGGCTGCTAGCAATAATATTATATCCCAGTACTGTCAGCTCTGACAGGCAATTACTCTCCAGGATTCTTATCTTGTTCTACCTTGATGTACCTGATAAGACATGCTAGTCTCCCATCCAGTCACTGATCAACGCTCCATAAATGAGGAGCCATGATCGGTGACTGAATGGGTATTCAGGGTCATTGCTGGATGAGAGCTCAACCTCCAATCTGCTCAGCATTCACCTTCAGGATAGAAGCAAGAAGGTTACATTAAATGTTTCATATTCTGTCTCCCATTAACCAGTCTGATGTGGTGCTTTAATTATTGGTCAAATGGCACCCTCATAGATTGTAATCATGCATGAAGTAATTTTACTGTAATACCTACAATCATTGATACCCAAAGGCTAAATGTGAATCTAGACATGATAAAACATGTGTCACTTTGTGAGAAAAAGGCCAACATACACAATCATACACTTTACCTCAGATACATTTTTGGGGGAAAAACTATGTACCCCAAGAGGGTGCTCATTCTTGAAGCCAGGACTTTGGGATAATCAATCAATCAAATGGTGAAATTCAGAACCAATGGAAATCAATGTAAAAAGGATTATCTATTTTGGATGAAGTGAGTGCCAGTCTGTAAAGATTTATGTCATTCTTTGACCTGTAACTTATTAGTTCTGAGCAGAATAAACCCAAGAGATATATTTATTGAATATATGAATCTACACTAATTGGGAATAACCGGTTGGGAGGTCGTCCTTCCTTCCTTCCAACAGACGAACTCATCCAGAGCCCTTTAAATAATAAAACAGAATTGTTATTTCTCTCTTTAGTTTAAGGCATATAATCTTTGTATTTTGATCTTACACATATTGTCAAGTGCTTTATTTTTAAAAAAAGATTACTCGGGTAGAAACTGATGAACAATTATGCCTCTTGAAAGGCCATTAAATAAGCGAGTGAAACTAATGTGGGGGTGTCAGAGATGTACAGAAGATAGGTGTACTGAAATGAAATAAAGATTCAAAAAGTACCTTGTGGGTAGATTCTACAAATCCAACCATTATGAAGATGAAAGAAAGATTCTAGAAGTGTGAGGATTATGGAGATGAAAGAAAGTAAAGAAGGGCTTGTTTTTAAATGAAGCAATTTCTTAAAAACAGAACTTTTCAATATCCTTACAGTTTAAGGGCAAAGAAGATGATTATTGAAGTGGTTGAGTTGCCAACTGTTTTGGAACAGGCTCTTCTAACACTTTTAATAGCAGTTGTGTGCATCGGGAATTTATAATGCCTACATTCATCCTATGAAGGATATCATTCACTGATGTCTTAATTATAAAAGAGCAAGCAAGCTGCACTTTATCTCATCAGTTAGCAATTTAAATATGACATTTGAACTGGTACAAGTAAGGGTGAGGCCAGGTTGCTTTAATCAATGGATGAAAAGTGAAAAACCTCTTATCATAGTATCCCTCTCTGGCTTATTTTCTACTATACAGTTGGCTCTCCACAACTGCAGGTTTAACATTTGTGGATTTTATTACTCACGGATTTGATTAATATGTTCTTTTAAGGAATCTTTGGTTTCTCCAGCACTGCTCTGTGCTCAACTACTGATGGAAACCATCTGTAGAGTCATGCTGGAGGATCTAGAGATTCCTAAAAAAGTTGGTCTTCAGACATTTATAGCTCCTCTAGCATGATTCTATGGTCATCTTATGGCAGAAGTCATGCTGGAGGACCTAGAGATTCCTTGTTTACACTGACGCCAAACCCCATGTTTGATGAGAAGTCATTCTTGGACATCCAGATGATATTCAGGGATTTTTAGTTCATATCATGGGGGTAAATCCAATCAACCTGGTTTTCTTCTGCTTTATAAGAATTTGGGGAATGCGTCAGAATTTTGGTGAAACTCTGGAGCAGCATTTTAGGTTTAGTGTGGAGAGCTTGAGTGGCTGTAATATGAACCAGTCCAACATCTACACAGTCCAATGCCACCATCTCCTTTTCCCTGAAATAAGAATTTGAAGTAATGTGTGTACATACGTGTGCACATGCAGACATGCACACTTTTTAAGAAAAAGGAAACCCTGTGTGTCTTTACAAATGAAATGTGAAGTAAAGATTACGACAGCATATAACAAACCAATTTTCCAGCCAGTTACATTTTGTGTTATAATTATGCTTGCTGTTAAATCTCATCATGGGTTTGCTGAAGAATAATAGCTTTGTATTTCTGAAAATTCCTTTCAGTGAAACCAGTTCTAGATCACCAATTAAGGTGTGCTCAAAAAATGTATTAACTTGTGCATTGTATGAATAATCACACCCAAAATACGCATGCATTTTTCTAAAAACTGGACTTGACCATGGCTCCCTCCAAAAATATATGCTTGGGAAAATAAGATGTAGGGACATGTTCTCCAAGTGTATGATAATAAAGTTGAGGGAAAATTTCTTTCAGCATTTTCTCTTTCTCTGTGCATGAAATACTCTTTTTGAAAGTAATATTTGTACAACCTAACTGTACAGCTGCAAAAAAAAAAAACTATTCTAGGAGTCCAAAATTGCAACATCAGTAGACTTTGCATTGTTTCTGCATTTGTCTGAATTAGTAAACCAGCATTGTCCCCATTATTATTAACACACCAATTCCAATACTAGAGATCATTTGCTAATCTTTGAGCAGTAATTCTGCACTAATTTACATTCCTAAAGGCAGTACTCACTGATCCCTGGTAGAAACAGCATGTGAAATGTATGCACTGTGTGATGCTTTAGCATCCATGCATGCATATTTATGTGTATGTACTCTAGAGAAACAATGTGTCTATTAACTTTAGTTATGCTATATTTGTGGGTGATGATTGTTTCACGGAGCAGGATACATAACTACACAAAATATCCTGTGGATCTGTCTGCATTAGTACAAGTAGTCCCTTCATCTTATGAAAATCACAACTGCTCCATAACATCATTTTTATGGCCAAGTCATCATGAGATAGCAAGCCTTCAGGCAATAAAATTCTCAGTTGTTAGCTAGTCTGGCTCTCAATTGGAAGTTATGCTACTTGAGCTGCTTCAAAAAATGTACCAAAAACCTCTCAGCTTGATAGCATCTGCCAGAGATTGGCTTCCAGGGTTCAACGTCATCTCCCTGAAAGAGTATACTACTAATAATGAAAAAAAAAATGAATCTAGAATAATGACTTTCAGCATGCTGGAAGTCATTTGACAACAGAGGCCTATTATTATGCATAATCAAAGACCGGCCCTACTGTTTGGCATGGTATGGTGATCACCTCAGCTAGCAGATCTTAGGGAATATAGAGTGATGATGAGGTATTGGAGGTCTTTCCAACAAAACATGTGGTACTTCTAGATTACTATACTGCTCTCAGTTGCTGTACAGGCATCCCATGTGGATGGGAAAATTCAGCTAATTGTCTAGCTGTCTTCTGTAGATGGAACTGGGGAGGGGAAACGCACCATTTTAACAGGTAGGAAAACAGTTTTGGACAGCTCTGTGAGCATCTACTTCCTCCGAGTTCAGTGGAGGTCAGTCCCTCAAGCTTCATCTCTCTGGTACATTCTCTGCCCCTCTGGAAATCTTCAAATTAGATTGCTCAAGGAAAATGCTTCTGACTCGAGGAGTGCATAATTGCTCATCAACGTGCACAAATATTGTGCAATCACCTTAAATGTGGCTCAGAAGTTGCATAATTTCATCACAAGCTGCATTGCAGAGCTGCTGTTCCATATTCTCTTGCTACCCATAATCAGACCAGAGGTTGATGAAACCTTGTTTTACAAATCGCCATCTTCAAAGCATTGCAGAATTATAGTTACAATGAAGATTATTTTAATATCTGTATTATGAGTAGTCTAAAGATATGGTGAAGTCCCAAAGTTTCTCATTCAGTAACTGTAAAGCAAGACTCTGACAAGCTCATCTGCTGCTATCCCTTCCTCGCCCTCTCTCACACACATCCACAATTAGAGTTTGAAAAATGTACTTGAGACATTCAGTTTTCATCCTAGAATAGAAATGTATGTATCACAATTGATTCAGTCCTAGCTTAAAAATGGATTTGATGAAGAATTTAATTAGTTTATAATCTCCTTTCTGTTTCAGTTGCATACAGCTCATCTTTAGATGTATTTATTTCTATTTCAACCAGTAGCACAAACACTTTGGTGCTAGCTTGGAGAGAAAAATTAAGTCATCGTCTTAGAATGACAACTTTCCACATAACCCAAGGAGTCAATGCTTTTGATTTCCATCCCAGACTCAACTTGATAGGTATGTAACACTTTAAATTTATCTTTTATTGTAAATTTTAATAGGTTAATCAAAAGTCTAGAAGTGGTTCTACCTTTCTAAATGGCAGTTCTCAACATCCCTTAGAATGGCACCATAACAGCTGAAGTGGAATTGAGCTGATGTCATTGTGTAATTCAGGTAAAAAGATTCTATACTGCAAATCAAGTTGGCCAAGCCTTTTCTCATCTCAAGAGACTATAAAAATGTGTGAAGTGGCTTAGGAATCTCAAAGAGAATATGAATTAATCTACATTGGGCAGGATTCATTAGGGGAAACCATGATAATTAAATGGGGCTCTTCAATTAAAATAGCTTTATTTTCTGTAGGTGCACACTTTTGTAGACTGTACACAAGGGCAGGAGAGAGAACAAAGGGAGAATCATTCAAAGTAGGGAACAGGTTGATTTTCCCTGCTGTAGAACTTGGAAGCAATACATTAGAAATAATGAAGTTACCAGTAATGAATTACTTTGGGTGGTAATGTAAACACAACAATAGTGCATTTCAAAAATATTGAGAGAAGTATGAATGTCATTACATAATTTTATCATGGCTTGAGTCATACTTTTTGTTTACACTTGCAAAATGTGTCTTTTAAATTGCATGCAGTTGCATTTTGTGTAGCCGTTTTTAGGTTTTGTGCCATTCTTTTATGATTGTAAGAAAATACAAATTGCACACACTTATTTACTTAGAAAAAATTACTTTAAGCATTCATGAGCTTAAATGATTTGGCTATAAAGAACAGCACTACATTAATTACTTTTCTGACTGTTACTTGTTACTGAGTGTGTTCAGACCCATGTCAGACGCAAATCAAGAGTACAGTAGTAATGTATTTAAAAACACAAAGTTAAAAACTTACCATTACACTCAATTTCCTTGGACCAGTACCTGGACACTTGAAGTGCCTCTGATGTTGCTATAAGAAAGTCCTCCATTGTGCATGTGGCAGGGCTCAAACTACATTGTAGTAAATGGTCTGTGGTTTGCTCTTCTCTGCACATGCATGTCGTGGACTCCACTTTGTAGCCCCATTTCTTAAGGTTGGCTCTGCATCTCGTGGTCCAGAGCACAGTCTGTTCAGCGCCTTCCAATTAACCCAGTCTTCTGTGTGCCCAGAAGAGAGTCTCTCATTCGGTATCAGCCACTGATTGAGGTTCTGAGTTTTAGCCTGCCACTTTTGGACTCTTGCTTGCCGAGGTGTTCCTGTGAGTATTTCTGTAGATCTTAGGAAGCTATTTCTTGATTCAAGTCAGTGGCGCGCTGGCTAGTATCCAAACAGAGAATGGGACAGAGATAACACTGCCTTGGTGAGTCAGGTGAGGTAAGATTAGTCAGGTGAGGTAAGGAGAGGGCAATGCTGCTAATGTGGCTGCTCCAAACATTGGTGCTGGGTGTACACTTAGATTAACTGGGTTGATATCAGCAGTGACACAGATTTTAGACAGAGATTGTTTTTCTCCATGTTTGCAGTCATCTCAGGGATGACATTTAGAGCAATTGTTTGGACAGAAGTTAGATAGGAAAGAAGATAGACTGAATGATAGTTTTTGTGTACATGCTCACAACTTCTGTGTGCAGGACATGTAATAGCCATGAGATCTGCTACACTATACCTGTGGACTTTATCACACAAAGGTGACAAACTGGAATTGAAGCAGGGCCTTTGCCATTCTATTGACACTCTTACAAGATTGTGGGGAAGTATTAGTGCAGAATAATGGACTGGTGAATCAGTGCAGTTGTGTGAACAAAGCAACATGTAATAGCATAAGGCTCTTGCTGGTATGTAGCCACTGTTGGTGACAGAGGTGCTGCTGTGGGAAAAGTCCAGTGCAATGAAGTCTGGTGTCTTTGTGGAATGGGGAATCCAGGAGAGGTTCACTCAGAATTAAGATGGTCACAAATAGGGGTAGCAGCAGTGGAAACGTAAGATTTGCTTCATTGATTGGAAAAACAGCAAGAAACAATGACCTTTTTGGGTGCTTAAGAGTAATGAGCAATGTATCTCGTGCCCTTTGAACATTGCTTATCATTAAAAAAACAAGTAATGAAAACAATGCACAACATAACAACACCAGTTACTTTCTCATGACTACTGGCAACAGATTAGTCTTCAAGCATAGTAATAAATAAGGGAAACAAATTACTTTTTAAAAAGTAACTTTCTAAGTTCTGCATAAAAGGGAAGTGTGTATCATTTCTTTTCCTTTTGGCTGGTAATGAGACAGCCATGGTTATCAAGGAAGTGTGATAAAATGAGGAAATCTTTTTTTTCTGGGCAGAATTCCATACAGAAAATGCGCAGTAAATCGTAGCAATGCTGTAAAACATGGCATTTGCATAGTGGTGGTTGTATCTTAGCACTCCTGAATGCTCTGGGTCCTATATATCAGGATAGTTCTGCATGACAAATGCAAACTGATTTGAGATAAATATAAGCAGCACAGGTTCCCTGGAGGAGCCCAGCATACCATATTTTTATGAGGGTTGTGAGAATTCAGCTTTTTTATCCTCTTGTAAAACAGAAGCTGGAGAAGAAGTCATAAAGGTTCAGCCAATTTAAGCTGGTGTAGACCACCATCATCTCTAGCCCTGCAGCCCATGAGTGCTCAGAGGATTGCCTTTTTTTTACTGTTTCACGCATAAGTCAAGTGCAAATAAGGAGTATAACAAGAGCAATATTTGCAGCTGGAAGGAATATAGAGTTAGCACTGGAGAATACATTTTTTAAAGCAGTGTTTCTCAAAGTGTGCTCCGTGGAGCCCTTGGGGAAGCATACTGAGGGGCTCTGCGCTTTCCTCCTCCTGTCTCCCTTCTCCAGGCTTTAATAAACAATGAACTTTATTTATATTCCACCCTTCCTCCCTGAGAGGACTCAGGGATTTCCCTCCTCCTTCCTGTTCTCCACCATCCTCATCTCCCTCTCCCCCAAAAGACTTTTTCCCTAGTAATAATATGACTATTTGTCCCTAAATTGTCAAATAACCAGGGGTTCCTCACCTTCAGCACTGCCCAGATCCTTCCCCCCTCACCTTTCTTGCCTTCCAAAAATTCCCTCCCTCTGTTTAGAGGTGCTTTGACTGTGCATTTCCTGCATGGCAGAAGGGAGTTGGACTGGATGGCCCCTGAGATTTCTGATTATTATTATTATTATTATTATTATTATTATTATCATCTAGACGTCCTGTGCCACACATTGCTGTGGCCCAGTCTGGTGATCTGGAAAATAAAGTAATGAGAAAGTGTTGGTTTCTAATATATGTAATTTATGTTTGTTGGCAAACACTATTTGTTGTTGTTTCTTTGTCAGTGTTGATGTGGAGATTGTCTGGTTTGCCTACTCTGGAACATGCAACATATAATTGTCCTTCTTTAGGGGTTCCTTTCAAATCTATGATACTGTATCTGTGCACGTGTGAATCATATATATCTATCTATATCTATGGCTGGATGGCTCTTTGTCAGGAGGGCTTTGATTACGTTTTCTTGCCCTGGTGAAGGGAGTTGGACTGGATGGCCTTAAGTATTTTCTGTTGGTCATGGGGGTTCTGTGTTGGAAGTTTGCCCCAATTCTGTCATTGGTGGGGTTCAGAATGTTCTTTGATTGTAGGTGAACTATAAATCCCACTAACTACAACTCCCAAATGTCAAGGTCTATTTCTCCCAAATTCCATGTGTGTGCATATTTGGGCATATGGAATATTCGTGCCAAGTTTGGTCCAGATCCATATTCATGCCAAGTTTTGTTCAGATCCATCATTGGTTGAGTCCACAGTGCTCTCTGTTTGAGTCCACAGTGCTCTCCCAAACTCAAGGTCAATGCCCATGAAACCATTCTAGTGTTTTCTGTTGATCTTGTTGGTGGAGTTCAGAATGCTCTTTGATTGTAGGTGAACTATAAATCCCAGCAATTAAACTCCCAAATGAATTTTTTTTGAGTGATGGTCACTTTTTGGGTTAATAGGTGTCTTGTGGCCAAATTTGGTGGCAATTCGTCCAGTGGTTTTTGAGTTATGTCAATCCCACAAACATACATTACATTTTTATTTATATAGGTATTATTACAAAGGCTGGGTGACCATCTCTTTGGGGTGCTTTGATTGTGCTTTTCCTGCATGGCAGAAGGGGGGTTGCACTTGATGGCTCCAGGGGTCTTCCACTGTTAAGTTTATGTTGGTCTAAATGTTTGCCCATGCCTGATATGTTTACATAATATAAAATATAATATCATATATAATATAGAAACATTTCTTGGGGCTCCATGAGAAACTTTTGCTTCAAAAAGGGCTCCACAGCTGAAAAAGTTTGAGAACTCTTGTTTTAAAGTGTACTGGTGGGCTTCAGCTCAGAGTGGATATGAAGCAAGAGATAAAATAAGATACAGGGAGGCTGAGTTTTTTGAATGAACTGGGTAAGCTAGAAGAAACAATGAAAATACTATGTTGTAGATTTGCATGGATTAGTATAAAATGAGACCTTAAGGTCAATCTGGCCATTGGCAGCTGGTGGTTTCCATTGCCAATGGGACAGTGAATCTGAGTTTAGTTCAATCTTTATAGAAGCTGTTTAAAATGTTTGGTTTTTTTAAAAAAAAATCAGACTACAATTGAGAGCTAATTCACAGCCCAACTAACATGGAAACCACAGTGTCAGCCTAGCCTAGTGTAGACGTGGCATATTAGTAAGCAACAGATTGGGTTATAATTGATAGAAAACTATAAGAAAAAAAGAGTGAGGCTGAAGCAAGTAGCAGAAAAGCCTAAATAAAAGATATATGATGCTTTTTGGGCAAAAATGTGTAAAAGTACAAGGTTGTCAGAAACCAGTCTACAAACTTAAATGCTAAGGCTTTGTGTGCACAAGCTTTCAATTCACCTGTCAAATTCACCTGACCCCATAATTTCCTTAGGTCAGTAGACAAATAACTTAGCGATTTCTCTTCCTCTGGAATATAGCCTACAGCACCTAGTTTCCCACCCTAGTATTAACCAGAGCTGACCTTGTTTGGCTTTCAAATCAGTCTGAATCTGATGCCTTTAGAGATTTCACCTCTTTAAAAACTATTAAGAACTCAGAAGAGTAGATATATGGCTAATTATATCAGTTCATACCAGTTAAAGTGCTGTAAATCCAGATAATTGTAAATTGTTTAAAATAGGGAACAGTCCTGCCCAGAGACAGCAAGGATTTTTGACAGATCAATGGTTCCCTGATGAAAGGGAATGAGTACCAAACCAGGATAGGTTTATGATGAAGATATTCTCCTGGAGACAATAATATCATGCCGGCTGTTTTCCAGCAGGCAAACTACTTCTCCTGGAATTTTGCCAGTTCAACAGGGATGGTAATACATTCTTTTGGCAATATTAGGGAGAATACATTTTCAATCAGGATTATACATGTTAGAAATGCAGAAGAACATAAGAAAAGCCATGCTGGATCAGGTGAAAATCCTAACAGAGGTCCCTTCACTCATTGCATTGAATTGCAGTCGGTGTAGACTCATATAATGCAGTTCAAATGTGTCTACACTGATCATACAATCCAGTTTCAAACTACACTATATGACAGTCTAGATGGGGTCTTAGTCCTACATTCTGCTTACACTGAAGCCCTATACTAGTACGCTATGAGTACAGCAATATCTTTTTGCTCATGGTTCCCAGCACCTGGTCACGTCAAGGTAATTTCCTGTTCTATCCTTCTGAGTCTAAAATGGCCCAAAGAGGTAGAAAGGGATGAGGAAATATTTACCACATCTCTAGATGGCATAGAGGTGTATTGAGGGAGGGGGGTTGGTTGTTTTATCTTTCAGGGGGGATGAGGAGAAACCCTCCAAAATTAACCTGGAGTTTACTACAGTACTGTTGTATCCCTGAGCAAGAACACCTCTGTCCTTAAAGACATCACCAGTATAGTAAAACCAACAAGCAATTTATTGAAGAATATATGTAAGCAAAGCAATAAAAATGATAGAAACAATATAGTCCAAATCGGTATATTCCAAAGGTAACAAATAGTCCATGAGCTTCAAGGTACAAAGGTAAAAATGTAAGATTCAAGGAGTCAAAATCCAAAAAAAAAAAAAAACAACTACGAAAAAACAGAACAAAAACACAGAGATCCAATAACCAGAACAGGACCCTGTCACAACTTGAAATATGAATCTAGGAATCCACTTGGAAACAAGATGGTCATGAAAATTCAACATTGACCAGACTGAGATAAAACCCTTTCCCTATCTCATATAAAGCCTTTCTTGTCTCACGAAATGAAAGAAAAACATTCTGTTTGCCTCCACACCAGATAAGGATTTCTTATCCCTCTTTTCCCACAGACAGGCTGACCTTCAGGGAGCTTGAGAACTTTCCCTTAGTTTACAAAAGTCTTATCTTCTATCTCCAATCTCATTAACTTCTGCACCTGGCAAATCATCTTCAGAAGACAGTTTCTCAGAGAAAAGTTCCTGTGGGCCCCTTTCAGGAATTTGGCCTTGGGAATTTAGAGGAGAAGCAATCTGTTCATGAGAAACTTTGGGCCTCTCAACTAGGCCAGAACCAGGTCTTTCACTTGACAACTCAGGCTGAGGAAAACCACCATCCCCATTGACATCAGACACAGGGCCACATTGACATCAGACACAATCACACGCTGAACTACAACAAGCACCTAACATCTGACAATTGCCCACTCCTGATACAGGATATATGCAGTAATGTATATAGAGTATTTGGATTTGGACCCACACTGAGCAGAACGGGTGTATCTAAACTGTAGAATTAATGCAGATTGACATGACTGCAAGTGCCTTCTCTGCCAAAGAGTGCTAGTGTCTCACCTAGACATGGGAAGGCCCTGTTTTTTTTCCAGTCCCCTCCCCCACTATTTTCCCATTTTTTCCAGGCCTTCCCATCTCTAGTCTTATCAAACTACAAATGCCCAGATTCCATAGCACTGAATCATGGCAATTACAAGGCTGTGAAACTGCATTAATTCGACAGTGAGGATATTCTCTTAGTTGAACATACATATACTGGTGCTGCTTGGTATTTATTATATTTACAAGTGATGAGTCACCTTGGATATCTTGAATGGAAAGAAAGGTGAGATGGAAAGGCATTTAATAAATAAGACAAGTGCGTTTAAATACATCAATTAAATATTTCTTATTATTCACTAAGGCTCTTGAAACCTGCAAGTACTTTATTATAATGTCTGCTTCTAACCCCGTGAGAGGGGTCAGGGCTTTTCCTCCTTCTTAGAAAATGGAAATTAAATCTGAAAATTGCATAACCTAAGTTCCAGGTGCAGATCATATTTCCTTCTCTAGATCACATTGATTCTAAATTAAGGCAAGGCATTGTAAAAATATATTACTTTTTTAAAGATGGAAAGAAATGTTCAGGGCTATGAGGAGACACCTTCAAGTAATCAAATCTAGAGTTTGGAATCAAATCCCATCAATTTTCAGTTGCAGCAACCATGGGGTGTCCAATCCATCACTTGTATTTGGAAATATTGTTTCTAAAGTGGCTGTACTTTGTGATTTTGATCAGCAACTGCAGGAATCAACTGCCGGGTTTGCCTTTGGAACCCCTATGTCACATCAAAACCCACTGGAATCTTGGAGGGTCATTCAGACAGTGTAATAGCGGTCCAATTCATTCTGGAACGCAAACTGCTTTTCAGCTTCGCCAAAGATAAGGTGAGTACTGGATGAACTTGCAACACAGATATCATTAGTTCTCTTTTAGGTAGAGAGGGGGGAAGCTAACTACTCCACTTCCTAACATTTTTGATTAAGTCTACATGCCATAAATGTTATGAAGTGGAGCAGATGGTGGACTGAGAAACAAAGGTTCCCAGGTTTCATTTTTTGGTTTGTGTATGCTTTCAAGTTGCCTGTTCACTACAGCGCCTCAATGAATTAAATAGGGTTTTCTTAGGCAATGAATACTCAGAGGTGGTTTTGCCAGCTCCTTCCTCAGAAATATAGCTTGCAGCATCTAATTTTTGTTGACAATCTCCCATCCAAGTACTCTCCAGGATTGACCCTGCTTAGCTAGAGCCTTAGAACTGCAATCAGCCCTTCAAATTTGTAGGTTTAGTTTTTGCAGATTTGATAATTCATAGATTTGATGAACATGGTCTCTTTAGGGATCTCTAGGTCCTCCAGTGTGACTCCGTGATCCATTCAGTCCAACACCTGCTGTGAAGTTAAAATCTTGAAATATGTCTATCCAGTCTACTTCCAAATGTAGAAAGTCAACCAGCTGAAGGCATCAGTTCTACGATCAAATAACTCTAACAACAGAGAAGTGTTTCTAACATTTAGGTGGCCTTTTGCAGTTGACAGATTGTGATTTTGTCGTTGTTTAATGTTTCCAAATGCTGGCTGAGATCTTTTAGCATGGCACCCAGTGCGCCAATGACTGCTGGGACCACCTGTACTGGTTTATGCCAGAGCCTTTGCAGTTCGATTTTGAGGTCTTGATAGTGGCTGAGTTTTTCCTGTTGTTTTTCCTCAGTGCGACTGTCACCCGGTATGGCGACATCAATAATCCAGACTTTTTTCTTTGCCACAATCTTGATGTCTGGTGTATTGTTTCCAAAACTTTGTCAGTCTGGATTCGAAAGTCCCACAGTATGTTCATGTTCCACTACCTTTGCAGGTCTATGATCCCACCAATTCTTTACTGCTGGCAGGTGGTGCTTGTGACATAGGTTCCAGTGAATCATCTGGGCCACAGAGTTGTGTCTTTGTTTGTAGTCCGTCTTTGCGATTTTCGTGCAACAGCTGAGGAGATGATCCATGGTTTCATCAGCTTCATCAGCTTCCTTGCACAGTCTGCATTTTGGGTCATCTGCTGATTTTTCAATCCTGGCCTTAATTGCATTGGTTCTGATGGCTTGCTCCTGGGCTGCAAGAATCAGGCCTTCTGTCTCCTTCTTCAGGGTTCCATTCATGAGCCATAATTTGGTCTTCTCCTTTTCAACTTTTCCTTCAATCTTCTCAAGAAACTGCCCATGTAAGGCTTTGTTGTGCCAGCTGTCAGCTCTGGTTTGGAGTGCAGTTTTCTTTTACTGACTCTTTGTCTGCTGTGCTTTGAGAAGTTTCTGATTATTGACTTCAATTAAAGCAGGTTCTTGGCTTTTCTTGACATATTCTGCCAGGGTGTGTTTTTCTTCTTCAGCTGCTTGTTTGACTTGTAAAATCCTCTGCTCGCTGGTCAACATCACTGCAAGTTGTTGTTGTTGTTTATATTGTTGTTATTGTTATTGTTATTATTATTATCATTATCATTATTATTATTGCAAAGGCTGGATGGCCCCTGGGGTCTTCTACTGAAATACTGTTATGTTTATGTTCATTAAAATTGTTCTTTATTTTAAATATTGTAATGTGCCTTCTTTCTTTGTTTATTTTGCACTACAAACAAAATATATATAGTGTGCACAGGCATTTGTACATGTTTTCTTCGATTAGTTCACACAACATTCTCCATCTATCTGCTACTGGTCTGGCTCATCTGTCAAAATTTTAAAACGATATGCGAACACCGTATCCAAAAGTTTCTACAAGAAACTTTTCCTTCAAAAAGGACTCTGTGGCTTTAAAAGTTTGAGAACCCCTGCTCTAAATACACCCATTTGTATTCCTTTATTATTGTTTCTCTTCTCATGGGAAAGCAGCACATATGAAGAGGAGAGCTCCTTCTACCCATGAGGGCTCTCTACATAATCTATTCATCAGAGGACATGGGTTCTCTTCAGTTTTTGCTTTGGTGGAGAACCTCCATGGACTAAAAGGTATTCTCTTCAGAGTTGTCACTTCATGTGAGCAAATTGATGGTGAGTGGTTAGAGCACTCCATTCACTGTATGTTTAAAAAATGTACTCCAGGAACTCCTACCTAGTGCTACTTGCTTCTTACATTTCCTCTCCTTTTTGTCTTCTCTTAACTTCCATTCCCAGAGCTATGGCAAGTCCCTTTCAACTTTGACAACCTCTTCTTTCACTGTTGGAGGCGGCACCTCTGCCCTCCTTCCATCTCACTCTGGTCTCTTTGTGACTGGGAGTGCTGGTCCAGAGAGAATACAGTGACAGCTACACTGTTCTGACACTTTAAAAACAGACGTGCAGAGAGATGCCTTCTCTTTAAATGATTGTTTACCTGCTCTGAAATCTCAACAATGCAAGTGAAGCTTAACTTAGTTTGCAATTGGGACAGAATAAATACCTTTTGGACTTTCAATTATAGCCAAGGTATATTTTGCTCCTTTCTCCACCCCTCTCTTGCAAAATGGGTATTGTTGTTTTTGTTTTTCTGTGTTTTAAAAAAATCCATTAATGATTCTTCAGCACAATGAAAATTAAAGTCAGAATCTGGGTGTGATAATCTATTCCATTTGCCTTTGGAAACTGCTCCTGTTTACGTTTTCTGTGTGCAAGTGTTTGGCTTGTTATTGTTTCTGTCACCCTATTTAAAGCTTGGCTTTCCTCACTCATATGACTCTAGAACACATGCTGTCAGGATTTGTAAATTACCTGGCATTTCTTAAGTAATAACAGGGGTAATATCTCAGGGCTAACCATAGGTAAAAGTGTCGTGGCAATGTAGTTAGGGTGTGGAGGCTGATGCAATGAAAGAGGTATAACAGTTGTGTTCTCCCTAATGGAAGTTGATGAGGGATGGATGGTGGTTGTTGGAGGGAGTTGGAGGGGAGAGATTGTAAAGTTTGTATATATTGTATACTCTGTATATATTGCTACAACTAAGGAGAGAAATGCCTTCCTGCATATTTTTGTAAAGAACAACTGTTTCTGTATGTTCTTGTTCATGCAGAAGTCCACTATACCTATCTGTGGGCATCTGGTTCCATAAATGGAGTCATTAGAGTCCCTTCTGCACTAACAGTTGTTTTATTATTGTATAAAATCTCTGACACATACATAGATTGATATCTCCAGCTTTATGGCAGCCTCATCTATGACACACTGTGATGATCTATGGGTGCAATTGTCTTGTTATACAAGAAGTGGCATTTGGGGGGGGGGGTAGTTTTCTCCCATATTGCTCCATAGCATCCCCCTCCCCATCACTACCATAAATTTCAAGATCTCCATTTTCCTCTGCAGTTCAAAATGGCAAGAAGAAATGATGTGTTTTTCAATGGGTTGGGGGACTTTAGTGATTGGTGGTGGTTCTCAGGGGTTACAAAAGCAGATTCCAGGCATTACATGTGGCTTGTGAGGCATACATGTCTACACCTGTCTTATGTTGTTACACTAATTTCATACCATTCTAATATTCTTGGTGTCCACATACTGTATGCTGCAATTTGGTGAGATATTTAGATTTTTTTTACTAGAGTGATCTAGTCTGCTTTTCTGAACTACAGTTGGGGTACCATGAGTGTCTGTCTGAACTATAGCATTAAAATTATTTCATCCTCAAACTGTCTGTCTCTTATCTGCTCAGAGTACCTTAGGAATGGCACTTCAAAGGAGTGAATGAGAGCACTCTTCCATAAAATATAATACAATGGTGTAGAGTAGGCATGCCACAAAATATTGTAGAAAATCAACGAAATTTGAGAATGATCATGCATGGAGGTATCATTGAGTGGGATCACAAGATGAAGGACCACTTGAGGGGTAGGCAAAATTACATCGTTTTTAGTAGCAGGTCTAGTAGTCCCTACGCTATCATAAGAACTGTGCCTGTTTTTTAAAAAATGGTTCCCTGCTGTGTTTTTTAGACTGCTGTTAAATGCAGAAGAAATGAGCAACTGCAAAAGCTGACAACCCAATCTCCTCCAGTACACTTGCTTGTTGTTGTGTGCTTTCTCATCCATTTCTGATTTATGCTGACCCAAAGACAAACCCATCACAGAGTATTCTTGTCAGGATTTGTTCAGAGGTGGTTGCCTTTGCCTTCTGGTGAGGCTGAGAGAGTATGACTTGTCTAAGGCCACCCGATAGATTTCTGTGGATTAGCGGAGATTCAAATCCTCATTTCCAGAGTTGTAGTCCAATGTTCAAATCACTACACTGTGTGAGCACTTGTTAGTTGTTTCTAATGCAAACCTGAGATTTCAACTTAGATTAATATCCAGAGAACATAGCCTGATTCCAACATTTTGAAAGTTTCTATTAACCTGCCCACTAAGCTTCTCAATGTTAGTTAACGCTGCTTTCCCTGTGGTTGCTCAGCCATTATTTTACAAATAGCCTTGTGCCTTTCTTGGCATTAGCATGAATTCATTTCACTGTGATGGATGAATGGGCATCCAAGTTGGCAGCTATTTACATACAAAACCTTCTGCTCTGCTAGAGCAATCTGCCAGCCAACCCAAATCAGATATCTGCTACACAATGCCTTATAGAACAAGATAATCAAATAAGGTGAAAAGCTTCTGGGTGGCCATGCGTGTGTGGACAAACACTTTGGTTTGACACTTCCATAAAAGTAGAAACATTGAAGCTATGGGCACTTTTTCACATTGTTTAAAGCCTTGATATAGGAAAATAACAACTACCAGCATTTGTTTTAAATTCACTACATCCACATTGCCACCACTTTGAGTCCCACCCATGGGGGAAAAGCGAGATAAAAATAAATAAATACATACATACTTTTAAGGACCAAACAATGAGAATTTTTAAATAGTTTACATGCGGAATCAATAGTTGCCAATAATTTTATAATGTCCTAGTTAGTGCTTTGATTTTAATTTTTTAAAAAATCATATTGGCCAACATGACTGTAAACATCTTATAAATGGAACCACTAACTTTTAAACTTTGTTTCCTGGTATTTTTCACTGCAAAAAAATTCCTCAAATTTCATTTTTGAGAATAGATGAGTGGCATGTATCTGTAGTAGAATGCTGGTAGTTTTGTATGAACAACAGCTTGCAGAAAAAAAATCTGTTTCTGCCATGGTGCAACACATTTGTAAAACTATGAACATTCCCCTGAAAATCAAACATTACATTGGACACTTATTTCTACATATTGGAATACTGGACCTATAAATCCTATCAGCAACATTAGCTCCCACTGTCCTAAGTAATCCTGTTCCTGATGTCTCTCCTGACAATGCTTGAGAGTGTAAGGCATGTACAGGCAGTCCCCGAGCTGCAAACAATGGACTTATGAACAACTCATAGTTAAGAACGGGAGTGAGACAATGGGAAGTGAGAGAAATCTACCCCTCAGAAGGGAAATTCACTCCCGAAAGAGTTAACACGGGGAAAAGGTGCATCCACTGAAGCTTTATTACCAATCCTTGTTTCCACAACAGGCCAAAATTTTCAAAATCCATTTATCTCAGAAACTGAAGTGAAATCTTCAGAACACGGGCCCTCACAGCAAAACAAACACCACAGGGTGTTAGTCCTTCCCTATGCTATCCAAAGCAAAAAATATCCCTCCTTCCGCTATCACATGGGGAAAGGGTAGCGTATTGGGCCAAGGCGCATTGGCACCCTGTTGCTTCCCACATCAGACAGGGGAAAAGCAGAGAAAGAGCGCGTAGCTCCATCAGAACTACCAAAAAGACAAATGACTCACCATAGTGGTGAAGAAGCTTCTTGTAACCTTTATTCACTGCTTCACTCACTGATCAGGCGGGGCCTCAGCCTGCATCATCTGATGGGGTCCATTTGGAACTGTGGCTGAAGAGAAACCTCAGCATGGTAAGGGGCAAAAAAACCCCCCATGTGATGTGGTGGTAGGACTAAGAGTAATGGGTTCAAATTAGAGAAAAAGATATTCCATCTGAACAAACTTGATTATAAGAACTGTTCAACAGTGGAACTCACTGCCACGGAGTGTGATGGAAGCTTCTTTTTTGGAGGCTTTTAAACCGAGGCTGGATGGCCATCTGTCAGGGGTACTTTGATTGTGCTTTTTTTGCATGGCAGGGGGTTGGACTAGATGGCCCAGGTGGTCTCTTCCAACTCCATGATTCTATGATGATACAGTCTAGCCCGTAAACTCTGTTCAGCCATGCACATCCAGGCCAATGACAGCAGCTTAATTTTACTGTCATCCTATATCAAGGAGTCAGAGTGTAACTTTACACTGGCAGAGTGATGTGATTATTGTGCATAAGCAAACTGCAAAATCTGAATGTACAAACAAATGTGAAATGACATCTGCATATGAAAGTCACAATGGCAGCAACAACATAAGAATATGCTCCCATCTCCTTCAGTCATTGTAGGGAAATTTACAAAATTGTAAGATACCAACAGGATGTTGCCCTGATTGTTTTCTTTCTGTTCTTTTGTGTCATTCTGGTATTTCAAGATGATAAAATCCTATGCCATCTTTAAATGAACTACATTAAAAATAAACTGAACTAAAGCGCTGCTGGCATTTTTGGAGGTCCTGTTTATTTAAAAGGTTGCTTCTGATTTCTTCTGTGTTTGCCATTGTGTCCAGGTATTAAGAATCTGGGACATTCAGCACCAACTTTGTGTCCAAAGGATTGCTGGTTCCTTCCCCAAAAGCATAGACTTCCATTCCGTGCTGTACTTTGATGAACCCCATGGACGGCTTTTTATCTCATTGAACAACCAACTTACATTATTGGAAATGGAGCAGGAATCTGGCAAGAGGAGAGTCAGGAGTCACAGGAAACCAGTGACTTGCATTCTTTACAACTCTGTTTTTAAGCAGGTAAACAAAACAAAAAAGAAAGAAACCATTTCCTATATTTGTCAGACATGCAGTTTGAATCTTTCATTGTGCATTTCTTGAATGTATTTTTCTCAAATGTGAAAGCAAAACAAATCTCAGGAGATTATTGCATTTGGAAAGGGAATTTTATTTCATGTGAGTAGGTAGTAATGTAGTAACCTACGGATGTGAGAGCTGGACCTTAGGGAAGGCTGTGCGAAGGAAGATAGATGCTTTTGAGCTGTGGTGTTGGAGGAAAGTTCTGAGAGTGCCTTGGACTGCGAGAAGATCCAAACAGTCCATCCTCCAGGAAATAAAGCCCGACTGCTTATTGGAGGGAAGGATACTAGAGACAAAGTTGAAGTACTTTGGCCACATCATGAGGAGACAGCAAAGCCTGGAGAAGACAATTATGCTGGGGAAAGTGGAAGGTAAAAGGAAGAGGGGCCGACCAAGGGCAAGATGGATGGATGGCATCCTTGAAGTGACTGGACTGACCTTGAAGGAGCTGGGGGTGGTGACGGCTGACAGGGAGCTCTGGCGTGGTCTGGTCTGTGAGGTCACAAAGAGTCGGAGACAACTGAACGAATGAACAACAACAAGGTAGTAATGGGCTATTATAAATTATAAACTGCTGTGGGTTTCTTGCAAAGAATTATGCGCACTCTGACTTTTCAAGAATGTGCTTGGCCGCTGTGTCAGACTGGATGAGGGCGAACAAATTGAAACTGAATCCAAACAAGACAGAGGTACTCCTGGTCAGTCAAAAGGCCGAACAAGGCATAGGGTTACAGCCTGTGTTGGATGGGGTTACACTCCCCCTGAAGATGCACGTTTGCAGCTTTGGTGTGATCCTGGACTCAYTGCTGAGCCTGGGACCCCAGGCGGTGACCAGGGGAGCATTTGCACAGTTAAAGCTCGTGCGCCAGCTGCGCCCATACCTTGGGAAGTCTGACTTGGCCATGGTAGTCCATGCTCTGGTTACATCCYGTATAGACTATGGCAATGGGCTCTACGTGGGGCTACATTGTTAACAGGAGTGGCACTCAGGGAGCACACAACTCCTCTGTTGTGCCAGCTCCACTGGCTGCCAGTTTGCTACCGGGCACAATTCAAAGTGCTGGCTTTAGCCTTTAAAGCCCTAAACCAGTGGTTCTCAAMCTGTGGGTCCCCAGGTGTTTTGGCCTACAACTGCCAGAAACCCCAGCCAGTTTACCAGCTGTTAGGATTTCTGGGAGTTGAAGGCCAAAACATCTGGGGACCCACAGGTTGAGAACCACTGTCCTAAACAGTTCCGGCCCAGTTTACCTGTCCAAAYGCGTCTCTCCCTATRAACCATCTAGGTGTTTAAGATCGTCTGGAGAGGCCCTGCTCTCAGTCCCGTTCCTTCGCTGATGCGATTGGTGGGAACGATAGACGGGACCTTCTCAGTGGTGGCCCCTCGACTATGGAACACCCTCCCTAGGGATATTAGATCGGCCCCCTTCCTCCTAACGTTTTGAAAGAGAGTCAAAAACTGGCTGTTTGAGGAGGTATTTGCAGATGCAGTGTAATAGACTAATTGTTGAACTCCAGGTCAGGGAAAAGCCCTTTGACTTTAAAACACACCACATGATGAGTGAAGAAACAAATCCTCTTTTATTGAAGCTTAGTGAATAGCCAGTAAAAATAAATGCTTGTAAGGAAATAAGAAGGTTCCAAAAATAATAAGTAAAAAAAAAAGCAGTAACACAAAGCAATGTCCACACAAGATATAAATGCAGCTCCAAGGCAGTGTTTATCCAATCAGGAATTAACAGGAAACAAAGACAATCCAAAAGGTTAAAATCCTCCACAGGAACAAGACCCCTTGAACAAGATTTCCATGGCACATGAACTTGATTTCCAAATGATGCCTGATCTAACAGTTTTTCCCTTGAAGCACACCTTATATCCCAAATCCCACAAACTGGTTTTGCTTTCCCCCACACTTATCTGTGGTTTGTTTCCCCCCTTATCTGACAAAGCCTTTCAGAGCAACGTAAACACTGAGTTTGCTGTCGATCCTGGCTGATCTCCAGTCGCCTATCCTTCAACTTCCTATCTGACTGCTCATTAAAATTTCCAGGTGTCAGATTGTTTTCCAAACCCAAATCTTGAGAGCTCACAGAAAGAGGGAGTAAACCACCATCCCTAGGCTCAGGAGGAATATTCTCATGAGAAACTGCCCTTTGCACCGGGGCTTCTCTGTCATTGTCTGTATGAAAATCATTGACCAAACCATCTCCATCTTGTGCCTCAGCCTCGGCACCATCATTACTCTCATCATAAGCATCATGATCCTGGAACACAAACACAGGCTGATTCCCAACAATAATTGACATCCACGGAATGATTGTTTGATGCGACGGAAAAATGATTTTAATGAGAGCCCAAGAGGCCACATCCAGCCCCTGGGGCCTGGGTTTACCCATACCCGATCTAGAGATAGACCTTATGTCTGATTCACCTGCTCTGATACACCTTATATCTGATCCAGTAGCACCCTTAAGTTCTTATTGGGCTATGAAATCATTAAAGAACGGTGTTACACTGAGGAGTCACTATTCTATTTTGAGCTAACCAAAACAGTCAGTAACCCTTTAAAAATTGTTGTTGTTCATTTATTATTCATTTATTGTATTAAAATATTTATATCCCAATATGTATGGGCTTCAGGTCAACATACAATAAAATCAATTTGAACAGTTTAAAACAATTGAAAACAAAATAAAATATTTAAAGGTCAAAACTCCATTAAATCATTTAATATTTAAAAGAGACAGTTTGAAAGCAGTTATAGTAATTCACATGTGCAGATTTAGTAGAATCCCCGTTGGTTGGTTTGTCCTAATAAGAGCACATGGGTCCAATCAGTGTTTGAGGGAAGAATATCCCAAAAGTGAGTGCCACTTCACATAATGCTTTCTCCCATATCCTCTCAACAGTAAATAACTCTGACTGAAGTGACATAACTACTGTGTATTCTTGATATGGATTCACATATGGAAAACATGATCAAAGTGATATCCCAGCTTGTGACTCAATAGTCTGTTTGATATGTGTGAAGTTTGCTGAGGTGTATGATAAAACAGCAGCCAAGTGAGACTTGACTGTGACTCTCTGGATCTTATTAGTATGCATTTTTGTTAGAAAAATCGGATCTTCAGGGAAGCCACAGCAGCTTTAGAATGTGTAGCGGGTTTAACTCATTCTTTCTCCTCCACTGTTGAATGGAAATGGCCTCTCTACAGGCCTCTACATGCATTTTATAGGAACATCAATTAATAGCAGAGGAGAATTACCTTGGAGTAAAAATAGAACTAGGATGTTTTTGTTAGAACCGTGGAAGTGGGAGGAATCCTCACACCCTCTTTCCCAGAACTGTTTAGAGTTGTCTATGACTGCTACTTGCTCAACAACAAAAGAATACTCAGTGTGCATGCAGTTATATAAAGTTTCCACTACATCTTTTCATACATTCTGCTCATTGTATGGAGTTTAGGGAGGTGAAATCCATAGGCTGGTTGGGGCCAGCACAACTATATTATGTGTGTCTTTATATAACTGTATGCCAGGGCAATTATGGCCTAACCCCATCCTCTCTTCAAAGACTGACAATGTGCATGTCAAGAGGAGGGTTTCTCCAAGGTGCTTTGTTACCAGAGCAAATGACAAAGAGGCATCCCTCCATGTCACATTTAGAAGATGACTGGACTACCTGTTGGATCCTACTTCTGGATTCAGGCTCTGCCATACTGAACAACAAGCCTATTTAGGGAAATAGGTTATGTGACTCCATGACTCCATCATCCAAGTGTGGAGTATGCAGAGTAAAGATGAAAAACAAGGCAATTGTGGCTACTGCCTGTAAGTATTGGCCATTTGAGGCAGTTGTCACTCTGCTGAACATTATGGACAGCCCCACTAAAGAATGTGGTTCACCTTTAACTTTCCCGAATTAGTGATGCATGGCTATCCCTCATCTCATAGATACTACATCTTCTAACTTTGCAGTGTGACATGCTTAATCACAAAAGCCCAACCACAGCCTAAAGCAGCAATAATGACAGCAATAACAGCATCCATAATGCTACCAATGGAAATAAGAATGAGAATAATATGAGGAATTTACTTCCAGTTGCAAATGAAAGCTGCTTCTGAAGTCTTCCTGTGAAATCACCTTCCTGTGCCTGTCAGGAGAGTTGTAAAATATGCATGTGGTATAATGAGCTGAGATCCATTTTTTTGTTGGCACATTTTCCCTGCAGAGATTCGCAGTATGGCAGCCCCCAGATTGTGGTTATATATGTTGTAATAAAATGAATCAGTTAAATGCAATGCCACTTGGTATGCAAGTTGGGTGCTGTTTGTCTTCACAGGACCGCAGCCCTTATGATCAGAGCGCTACCTGCATCTCAATGAACAGCGACACTCAATAGACAGGGAAAGGCCTCTGTGATTGATTTCCCCCTTCTTTCTCCCTTAGCGGTGACAAAGCAGCATCTTTTAATCTCCAGATCGAGATTTGGATAAAGCAGACATTCTGGTAGCATGCTCTGTGAGATGTGGAGCTACTGATAATCATCAACATTATCCCCCCCCCTTTTTTTTTCAAATGGCAACAGCATTCGTTCGAATGAAGCACAAGTTTTCTTTGTTATATACAAGTAAAGAATACAGCTTTCAAATAGACAGATCAAATGAATATGTTGAACATTAATCCCTGACATAGGCTGAAATGGATGGCACACTTACATAGGGGCAATGTTCATATAAGCATCAACAGGATGAACTATTTGGGAAGTAGTGACTTCCGTGTCAGTGGAATGGCAAATCCACTCCATTATATATTTCACTAGTGCATATACTCGGCATTGCTTGGGTGTCGGAGGGGCTACTGCCCCTCTGCTTTCATCCCTTTCTCTTTCTTTTCCCTTCCTCCCCTCATACCTTTCCCCCTTTCCTTTCTCTTCCTTTCC